TATTGTGTGATATGTGTTTTGGAATACGGTGGTGGTGGCAGAGACAGGCTGTTTCCATGAAGATTTCACTTTGCTGAGGGGAGTCATTCTATATTTTGATTAGCTTTTATGCTTAGAAGCCACATGGTTTGACAGGAATTGGATGAAATAATCAAATAGCAGCTTTCTTAGGATTTGCATGTGTAACGGAATGTTAGAATAGGATTCATATTTAGTCTCCATTTTTAGCAGAGACCCCAACTCAATATATGCCAGATTGCCCTGCTTTCAAAGCAATGTGCTAGAGTGCCTATTCAGAACTGCACAAGAGGTATTGAACATTAGTTTTTTGTTTGTTTGTTTGTTTTTTTAGTCTTCTTAGCCAGTTTCCACCTTGAGGAAATAAAAATTACCAATGTTGACAGTAAAGTCCTGGAGACCAATGAGATGCATTATCTAAAGCAGGTATTCTTGATCTGAGTTAAAGAAATATGGGTCCACCTGTGTATTTAGATCCATGGATGGGCTTCGGAGAGTTTAACCATTTCTTCTAGCACCCCACTTTTTTTTTGATGGTAAACTATACATGACACAAACTCAACCATTTTGACAACCTATAAGAGTACAGTTCAATGACATTGAATACATTCACAATGTTGTGTAACCATCACCACTGTCTATACCCAAACCTTTTCCATCATCTCCCAAATAAACACTGTACCCATCCACTCTGTAGGTGCATGTAAACTGGTTCACTTTCTGCACAGGTTTTGAGCTCTGCTCAGAATATCAGGAACCACTGCTTTACACATTTCTTGGTATTGCTGTTGGTAAGAAGTAGAAAACCAGGTGAATGGCCACTGCATGTTGCCTGGTCCTAAAGTTCTTATGTTCTGATCGCACTCCAGCACCACTTGGAGTGTCCTTCCTCCTCCTCTCAACCAGGAAGAAAAGTATGCTGAAGGAGCCCTGTTAATAGCATAAAAAAATAAACCCAGCTGATTCCTTTAGACTTTTCCTTCATTTTGATTGTTTCTAAACTACATAATCTTGCAGGATTTCTTCCCTTTTGAGAACAAATTGATTTTTGGGAAATATGCTATCAATTTCAACTTACTTAAAGTCCATCTTTTGTTTGTTTGCTTTCCTTTTCCTTCCAGAGCTCACCAGAGGTCACCAGAGCTCCCAGTTGTTTCTGCTGTGGTTTGCTGGTTGGTGAGAGGTGACTTTACAGGTTATACTTCATCTCTCCCTCTGCCACCATGCTTCAGTTTTAAGGAAACTGAAAATATGGCCATCACTGGAAGCCATAACCACCCACAAATGTGAGGTGGAATTGCAGTTAATAATCACCATCAGACAGTGTGATGTAATAGAAAGTACATGAGTCTTATCAGTAATTTTTATTGAGATGACAATTTTAAGCTTTAAAAATTACCCTAGGTTCACATCTCAGCTGTTCCTCTTCCTGGTTAAATCTCTTCACTTCACCCGAGATACCATTTTCTCCTGTATGAAGTGGGGATGACAATACGAATACCTACCTTGCAAATACTTAGAAATTCTTTTCTGTAGTTTTGCCATAATGAATAAACTTGATAGCAGTGTCTACCCTATAGTAAGCATTCGGTAAGTGGTAGTTATGATTGATGTTAGTAATACTAAAATGCCACAGTAAATGATTGACTAAAATCCCCCTGTTTTCCAAAAATGGTGTAGATTCTTAAAATGTGGTATGGCTCTTGAGTCTGATTCTCTGTAGTACCTTTTGCTCTTGTGCTTGGCAGGTGGGATGCTTCTGCCATCGATGAGCCCATGCTTGTGGCAACGGAGAGAGAAAAATCAAATGGCATCCGGCTGTGGTGCTGTTTTGGCTTCTTTCCCAACTGGGTGGTATCATGGCAGCCTGTAATCCATATGGCATTTTCTGATGCTTGGCAGCTCTGGGAGGTGTTTAGAGAGACTGGAGATGGCATCATGAAGTGTCACATGCCCAAGGATTGTGCTGCTTATTGCCTGAACCTGTGAACCCCAGGGAGACACAAAAATAGCTTACAGTGATTGAGTTCCTTAAAAATTTTTTTTGGTTTTGTTTATGCTTTAGTGTTTTTTTCCCTTTTAGACAGAGTACATGCTTTTAAAAAATTCTAATTGTATGTTTGCTTAATGGTGTATAATTATAGATCAAGTAAATATGTAATTATAGAGTGCTTTAAATTAATATTATTTACTTGATTGATTTAATGATTCTGGAGCTTTTAGCCTTTTGTGCTGAGAACAATTTAGCCAACTTTTAGTTGAGACTCATTACAGATATTGACATTTAGTGTTTGTATGGTTGACATACAGTTTCTAAAAGGTTTAAAAATACTGTCTGGAAAAGCAATTGTTCCATACTTTTCCATGATTCCAGCTTACAACAACAGCTAATTTGATTCATCTGCCCCTTCCTTGAGATATTGTACCTGTAGACAAATCTTAGTATGAGAAGCGATTGCCAAATGGGGTTCATTCCTTTGTTCTTTCAATCATTCGTTCACTCAGCAAATACTGAGCATCTTCCATTCAACTAACACAACAACTCTGTGGTTACAAAACGAGTAAGTTATGGTGTCTCTTCTGGTGAGGCCTAGTGTCTAGAGGGGGCAACAGAGGTAAACAATTAATTCGAATACAGTTTGACAATATGCTGGCATTTACTGCGCTTATGTTGCTCCACTTAATTCTCATTACTCTTGTAATGTCCATTTTCACTTTACACACAAGAGATTGGGGCTCCAAGAGATCAGAAACTTGACTACAGTTAATCAGATCATAAGTGGTAAAGCAAAGGTGAAAACCCGGCCTGTGGGTTTAACCATGGTGCTCTACTGATAAAAGCTGTAATAGATGAAAATGGACAAGGGCATGGGTACAAAGAAGTAAGGTAACTAATTTCTGCCTCTGGGTGTTAGAGAAACTGTCAGTAACAAAAGAGCACTTGAACTTGGGTTTTAAAGGATGAATATGAATTTACTAAGGGAAGAAAAGCATTGCAGACAAGAAGCAGCTTGTACAAGTGTACATTTTGTTATTTCCCTGATGGCAGAATTTATCTTACCAACTCTTCTTTTTTTTTTTTTTTTTTTGAACCAATATATCATTTCTGTTCCTTGAGAACACAGCAGCAGGGAATCCATTTGGTGGTAAAGAATGGGCCAGAAACAGTCTTAATTCATGTTGGGTAGAAGGGGCAAGCTGTTCTGGAGTTTAAACTGGCAGAGGCCCAGTAGTGGGTCACCCTAGATTGTTAGTAGCTGTGTCAAGCATTTCAACTACTTTGTTTAATAAACCATACCTGTCATTGCCAAAGGTATAGGTAAGTGAGTACCTGGAAGCACCCCTGCCAGTACCCTACAATCATCTTGTAGAAAAAGGTACAAATTAACCAAAAAAATGGGCCTTCTTGGCATCCCCAGAGAGAGAAACTTGACTAGCGATTATCTGGTTACCAGAAAAGGGTGAACCAATAGATTGCTCCTGCCTCCCTTTGCCCACTGTTAAACATTAGGGATTTGAGATATTCGTTGTTGTTGTTGTTGTTGTTGTTGTTGTTGTTGTTGTTGTTTAGGCCAGTAGTGTTGCAGAGTACTTTCTGATGACACCATCCATATAAAATCTAGTCTTTTTTCAGAATTCCCTACATTAGCAACCAGCCTAAGCCGCCATCATTCCTGACTTGGGCTCCTCAGCAGCCTCCTGACTGCTCCCCCCGGCTACTCTCATGTCATCCGCATCCATTCTCTGCACTGGCTTAAGAGGTCTTTGGAAAATACAGATGAGAGTCACTCCTTCTTAAATATTCTCCCAGCTGCTAACAGGACCTTGAATGATCTGGCCCTTCAGTCTGCTTTTTTGCCATATGGGATTTTATTCATTTTATTCAAACATAGCTGGCTTTATCTGAACTCAGGGCTTTTTACTGGCAGTTACTGGATTTGATACTGATGATAATAGCTAATATTCCTTAATCACTTTGTGCATGTCAGGTACTGGGCTGAGCCCTTGAAATACATCCTCATGTACTAACCACACCCTATGAGGCGGGTAGGTAGGTGCCACTCACCGCATTTTTGAAAAAAAAAAAAAAAAAAAAAAAAAAAAAAGGTTAAAAGAGGTCACAGAGTTTGTTCAAGTCTAAACTTCTCATTTTTTTTTAATCTAAATTAGTAAATATCTAATCATTTGGGACTCATACCTAGTATTTTGAGGCAATTGATAATCTCTACCAGTATAGTCTTGTCCCGCAATGATTTATACTCAGAGGACCTGGGTTGCTCTCCTGGTCCTGACTGGCAGCATGACTCTAGACAAGACAGACTCTGAGAGTCTGTTTTCTCATCTGCAGAATGGACATCATGTTAATACCGGTCTTGTACGATTGTGATACTGCTCAGAGCCAAACAGAATTCCAGGAACATTGCCGATGCTCTGTAATGGGTTAAATGAACACGTGTGTTAGATGAGTGAAAATACTGAAGATTGCCCCATGGTGTTGTGGATTCCTTCAGTAAGACAGAAAGAAATAAGAGCTCTGAGCAAGTGTAGTTTGGCTCACTCTGCAGCTCTTTTCATGTTCTCATGAGAGCTGGAATAAAATTAGGGATAGTGCAGGATTTATAAGATAATACTATAATTAAGTATCCAATAGGCAGGTCAAAACATTGTATTCTTAATAGAAGTTAAATGCATTGTAACCCTACAGGATTAAAAAAAAATCCAAATATGTAGTTTAAATGGTCTATTTTTAATTTAAAATATACCTCAAAATTTGTTTTATACCTTTACTGGAATGGAATCTTTTAACTAAGAAATTGCTATATTAAACAACTCTTCTTTCTGTGTTTGAACCCTGTTCACACCTCTCCCTGGCTATATTAAAAGAGAATGTGGTATCATATTCCAGAAGTTGTTTAGTGTGATAGCTGCGTATGGAGAGGAGTCACTTGGGGAATTCATTTCCTTTTGCTCTGTTCCCTTAGGTCTCAGAATGCAGTTGGCCCATTAGGCAGGCCCCCAGTCTGCACAACCTTTTTGCTGTGTGTCGGAATATGTATAATTGGCTACTACAGAATCCCAAAAACGTCTGTGTTGTCCACTGCTTGGTGAGTAACCTTTGTTGTTGTCATTTGTGGTAGTTGGGTTTGGTTTGGCCAAATACAGCTGGCTCTATAGAGGCTGGTGAACAGGTAACATTTAAGCTGAATAAGCTTTTTGAATCCCTACTTAGGAATTAGGGGATGTGAGGGATATAAAAATGAGGGAAGAATTTATTCTTCTTGCCTTAAAGCTTGAGTAATAGTGAGAGAGGCAGATACATACATGTAATACAGGGCGTCTACAATGTGGTAAATATTATAAAAGAGGTAGAAACGAGGACTGTGGGTACACAGGCAAAAATACCATTGAGTTCTGTGTGAATGAAATTGATAAACACACTGGAATATTTATCTTTTTGTTTTTGAGTGAAAATGAAGTTAAGAAGACCCCTATGCCTTTGTAAGTAGTCACATAGATTGATTGTATTTTACAGCAATTTCTAGTGGGACTGATGAATTTTCCGACCACTGACTTCTTAGAGTCCCTTCCCCCAACTCTTCTCTGGTGGCCTCTTACCTATTGTTTAAAAGTCAACATCTGGTAAAACTCTTTCTGACTCTTGAGTATTTTCACTGTATGGACATTTCCATTGTATATCTGAATGTCTTCTGTGGCATCTAATATACTGCATCATCATGATCTGGTGGTGTGCCTGTTTTCCTACTAGACTGTGAGCATGTCACAGGCAAGAACTGTGTCTCCTTTACTTTTGCACCCCAGGTCTGAGAGGCTTGAATAAATGATTGAATACATGGTCAAGTGAACACACAAGTGGAATCTGAGCATAAATACTGGAATTACTCGTTCTTTTTTTTTTTTTATTTATTTAAAAAAAGTTTTTTTGTTAAACGTTTATTTATTTTTGAGACAGAGAGAGACAGAATGTGAACGGGGGAGGGTCGTAGAGAGAGGGAGACACAGAATCTGAAACAGGCTCCAGGCTCTGAGCCGTCAGCACAGAGCCTGACGCAGGGCTCGAACAGACCGATCACAAGATCATGACCTGAGCGGAAGTCAGACGCTTAACCAACTGAGCCACCCAGGCACCCCTACTCATTCTTCTATAAACTTCAGGGTGTATTTTTTTTTTTTTTTGCTATGTGATTACTTGATGATCTTTTCCCTCCTTCTTGAGAGCCAGTTGGCTAAAAGAGGAGGAAAGTGAAAGAACATATTTTCTTCTTTCCATCTCACATCCCCAAACTCTTGGCAACAAAGGAAAAATTTCGTGTCCACGAACGGCCAAAGGGTTTTCCTGTCGGAGGCACAACAGATTGTGCAACAGAACAGATTCCTTTCAGGGACTAAGCAGCTTTAGGCACTTTGGTGATTTTCTCTTCACGCAAGAAATTTCTAAAAGTTCAGAGAACCAAAGTCTGACAGCTTTGTAAGGGAAGATGGCTCAAGAGAGAGAAGAGGCTTCCAGTTCTTATGATACAATCTTGAAGAATAAAAAGCCAATGAAGAAACAGAAGCAAAGGATTATGACACCATTGCTGCTCTCTAGCTCACTAAAAAAGGGTACGCATGAGTCAGACATCTGCACCAAGTCTTTGGGAAATGGAATTGAAGCTGGAAATGGGAGCTTTTACTTTTGTCATATATATTTCTGTTTTATTAAAAATAATAAGCATATACTTATCTTTTAATAAAAAACTAATTAAACTGTTGAAAAGATTTGCATGGTAGATAAAAGGAGGGGGACACATCCAACAACCATGGATCAGTTAAGAGTATCAGGAAGGCTAAATCTAAAAGAATTAAGATTAAGAAAAAATGTCTTAAAAAAAAGGAAAAACCTGTCCTTGAAATAAGGACAATAACAAATGCTTGAGGCACATGATATAATCTTAACTCTTTTATTCTGTTTTCTTTGTCAGGGGAGCAAATGTCAGGCTAGGATGGTAGTAACAATGATCATTAAGACAGAGCTGATAGGTAGTGAGATAGTAAAGGAGCCTCACAGTACTTTAAAAATAATCCACTCTCTAGACTTAAATTATGTCTCAGAATGCTGAGAGCACTTGGAAAAGCAATCATGGATTCCTTATGTAATATGAGGAAACAGGAAGAAGAGGTGCCAGGCAAACAAAGACAGGAGAGTTTTTCCAAAATACGGAGGAGGTTTATCCTGGAAAGTTACAGGCTGGTGAACCTGATGGCACTTTAAGGCAAAAGTCTAATATAAATCTTTGCACAGATGATTTTAAACTCTTAGGAAAAAGGAGTCTTCATTGGTTCATTATGAATGTGCATATCAAAACAGCTGAACTTTTACAAGACCAATAGACTAGTAGGGATAGCTTATTGTATTCCTGCAAGGTATTTCCCAATTTCCTATAATCAAGATAGAGAAATTTGGGCTAGGTTATAATACATCTAGTTGGATTGTGGCTCCGTACTTGCTTCCAAGGGTAGGTGATTAATGGATCAGTATCTTCCCAGGAGAAGGTTGCATTTGGTTGCCCTTTTAATTAAAAGCAGTGATGAGGATGTGAAGATCAAGCTTCCAGTATTTCTCAGAAATGGGAGGGTCATATAATGAATCTGGATTTTAAAAGCCTTTGCAGGTTGGTTGTTTAACGGAAACTAAGAATGTGAAATTAAACACAGGATAAATGTGAAGTCCTGAATCTTGTTGTAAAAGATTAAATGTATTTGTCTCTTAGCTTAACACATCATTTGAAAAAGAACTAGGGGTTTTAGTAGATAGGAAAATCAATAAGAGCTTAGGGTGTGACTTAGCCTGCATATAAACTAACTTGGCCTAGGATTATGTTAGTAAAAGCATAGTGTCCAGAATAAAGGAGATGGTATTTTCTCTCTAGTTGGTTGGAGTGCACCTCATATTTTACATTTCACATCTGGGTAGCACATTTAAGGTTGTTGTTTTAAAATGGGTCTGTTCAGAGAAACTTCACCAAATGATGTTTCTTAAAATGGAATATCAAGTGAGGAAGAATCAAAGAAATTATATATTAGTTGGGGTCCTTCAGAGAAACAGAACCAATATATAATGCATTTATTATAGGAATTGGTTCACACAGTTACAGAAGCTGAGAAGTCCCACAATTTGTTTGCTGTCTGCAAACTAGAGAACCAGAAAAGCTGGTGATGTAATTCAGTCTGAGTCCAAGGCCTGAGAACAGGGGCTCTGATGTCCCAGGGAAGAAGGTAGACATCTCAGTTCAAGAAGATAGAAAATTCACCCTTTCTCTGCTTTTTGGTTCTATTCAGACCCTCAACAGATTAGGTGATGCCCATGCACATTGGTGAGAGTACATCTTTTTTTACTCAGAGTCAAACGCTGATCTCTTAAAAAACTTTTTTTAATGTTTATTTTATTTTTGAGTGAGAGAGTGAGAATGAGCAGGGGAGGGGCAGAGAGAGAGAATCCCACGGAGGCTCCACACTGCCAGCACAGAGCTTGTGTGGGGCTCGAACCCACAAACCTCAAGATCGTGATCCGAGCCAAAGTCAGACACTTAACTGATTGAGCCACCCAGGCACCCTGAATGCTGATCTCTTTTCGAAACACTCTCATAGACAATTCTAGAAGTAATGTTTTACCAACTGTCTGAGCATCGCTCAGCCCAGTCAAGTTGACACATAAAATTAACCGTCACAGATTGGGTGTGCCTTTAACCTGTAAAATGAAGGAGTTGGTGAAAGGGGAGGGTATTTCAGATATGTGAAAGGCTACCCCAGGAAGAAAGAAGTAGGTTTACTCCTTCCTGACAGAAGAAAAAACGAGGATCATTGAGTGGAATAGACTTCAACTCAACATATTCAGGATAAAGAAGAGCTTTGTAAGCTGGGCTGGGCTTGGTTTCTTCAAGTAGCAACAAGCCTCCTGTCACTCAGAGTGTTCTAGAAGAGCCTGGGCCACCATCTGTTAGGAATGTTACATGTATTTCTCCACTGAATGTGGTTGAATCATGTGAAGCTTCTTTATTTTGTATGAATCTAGAAACATACTTTGGGTAAAATATATACATAGCATATTCCAAAGAGCAGTATTTGCCTAATCTGTGAACTCTACCTCCGGCTTGCAACCAAGAGACCTCAACTACTAGTTCTGATCCTATGAGTCCAAAGTTACTTTGAAGATTAGACTATTTTCCCATAAATATATGCAGATCAAATTTATGTTGCTTGGTTTCTTAGGTTAGTAGACAGTCAGTTTTACCCTAAGAATAAGCCTTCCTTGCTGCTTTGTGATTTGAAGTGCTTGGGACAGAGTTTGGTTTTCAAGTGAACACACTTTAAGTTTATTTATTTATTTTGAGAGAGAGTGAGGGAGAGAGAGAGAATCCCAAGGAGGCTCTGTGTTGTCAGTGCAGAGCCCAGTGCAGGGCTTGATCCCACGAACTGCGAGATCATGACCTGAGCTGAAATCAGGAGTCGACACCTAAGTGACTGAGCCACCCAGGCACCCTCAGGTGAATAATTTTGAACTGAAAATCATTCTGTTAAGAAGAATTCTCCCCATTCTCTCTTCCCTCTTTTAACTGCAAGTACAGCCATTCTCTGTGGTGAGTGGCTGACTGGGCCACGTTTGTGACAGGTTTATATATCTTCCTTGGCAGGATGGACGGGCAGCATCGTCAATTCTGGTTGGTGCTATGTTCATTTTCTGTAATCTCTACTCTACTCCTGGCCCAGCCGTTCGATTGTTATATGCAAAGCGACCCGGAATCGGACTGTCGCCATCCCACAGGAGGTAAAGTAAGCTAGATGCAGGGTAGGCACAATTTCTAGCTGGTATTGTGCCCTTAAGAAAAGGGAAACCCTTTTTAGGTAATTGACTTATTATACTTCTGTTACTTGCAGTTTCTTCTTTTTTCTTATTTATTTATTTAAAAAATGTTTATTTATTTTGAGAGAAAGTGTGAGTGGGGGATGGACAGAGAAAGAGGGAGAGAGAGAATCCCAAGCAGGCTCTGTGCTATCAGCACAGAGCCTGACGTGGGGCTTGATCCCAAGAACCATGAGATCATGACCTGAACCAAAATCAAGAATCAGACGCTTAACTGACTGAGTCACCCAGGCACCCCTTCTTTTCTCTTATATAATTTCCCCTTCTTACTTTTTTTGAGTTAAAAGTGCTTCTGATGATAAATTCTAAAATTTTTCCAAAGCCGGCTTTTAGCTGATAAACCTAACCTGGCAGATCAAATAGGAACAGATATGCCAATGTGAAGCTAGTATAAAGCTCCCATAAGCCTTTTTCATTTAATAAATTACCCCTTTACCAGTTCTTTGGGGGGGAAATACAGTCATGTCACTAGATAAAAGCTTTCATAAATTGTTGGTTGCATTCTCTTTTGGTAGTTAATGTTTAAGAATTTAACACAGTAAATTGTTATTATAAGTTAGTAATTTACAAGAATAGACTTCATAGCCAAGATTGATTGCTTCTTTGGTCTGACCCACAGAATGTCAATCTTCTGTTTCAGATACCTGGGCTATATGTGTGACCTCCTAGCAGACAAGCCCTACCGCCCTCACTTCAAGCCTCTCACGATTAAGTCCATCACTGTCAGTCCAGTCCCTTTTTTTAACAAACAGAGAAATGGATGTCGTCCTTACTGTGATGTACTGATTGGAGAAACCAAAATATATACGACCTGTGCAGATTTTGAACGAATGAAGTAGGTCATGAACTTTTCTTCACTTCTTAGGAATTGCTCATTTCTTATCTAGGTTGAATTATATTCTTCCTGTGAGGAATACATCATTGTGAAAAGGCTGATATTAAAAAAAAAAAGTTCTATGTAGGTTCAATCCTAGAAAAGCATAAGTAAACCAAGGGATGCTATGGCTCCCTCTCAAATGGAAATATAAGCTAAGGGACTAACATGAATTATGAGGGTTAAGACAGTGGTGGGGACAGAGGACCTACATGCTTAGTTTCTAGGTGAGCAGCTAGGCAGATGGTGATATAATGAAAGAAGTTACAGAATCCAAAATAAAAAGCAGGTGCCAGTAGGAGGTGGTAAGGGGTATGGAGAGAAGGGAGTAGATGGTGACATAAAATGAAGTTAGTTTGGAATAGGTTGAATTTGGGAATTGGTATCTAAGACCCTCACAGAGCATGGCTTTGCAGTTTCTATACTGATCTTGGTTGGACATTTTTGTTCCCTCTGTCTCTGCTTTTACTATTAATTTAAAGTTAAGAAACAACAAGTATATCAGGGCTAAGTGTATTTGAGGATTATGAGATCAGCAGAGTAGGGATGGGCAGTCAATTTATCTGAAGTCCAGATGGGACAGGGGAGGAGGTCTACCATTAGACCAACACCATCCTATGGCAGAACCAGTTTGCACCCATGGCTGTGCTCCTGACTCTGCTTAAGATAGGAAATGGTTCTTGGGCCCAGTCTTGGGCAATAGGTCCTTTGGCTTGAGCCACAGAGGACTATACCTATGTGATCATACAAGATTGGACTCTTCCAGTGTATATTTTTGTCTCTGTTTGTAGAGAATACCGTGTCCAAGATGGAAAAATCTTTATTCCCTTGAGCATCACTGTGCAAGGAGATGTGGTTGTTTCCATGTATCACTTGAGGTCAACCATTGGGAGCCGACTACAGGCTAAGGTATGGTTTCAGGAAGAATCATGGCATAAACTCTTCTGAGCCTTCAATAGGGTATTTTATTTTATTTTATTTTATTTTATTTTATTTTATTTATTTTAAAAATAAGCTCATAAGCCCAGCATGGAGTTTGAGCGATAGGCTCCATGCGATAGGCTCTGCGCTGACAGCATCGATCCTGCTTGGGATTCTCTGTCTCCCTCTCTCTTTGCCCCTCCCCTGCTCACACTCAGTCTCTCTCAAAATAAATAAATAGAAGTTAAAAACAACAGAGTTCCATGCTCTACTGACTGAACCAGCCGGGCATCCCTTAATATGAGGAGGATTTTAGAGTATATTCTCTGTATCACTTTGGGCTTGAGTGACTTGTGGTTTTAGAATTAGAAAGAACCTTTAAAGATTATTTATGTCTGTTTCCCTCATTTTATAGGGAACGAGACTCAGAGAGAATGTGATTTGCCCAGAGGCCTTGGCATGATGACTTTGCCAGAAACTGACAGCTCTGGAACTTGTACCAAACCTTGAGCTTTAGAAGCTCATGCCCTTTTTTATAGTGTCCCATTTGGATCAGTGTGAGAGGAGATATTTCTTTTTCTTTTTAAAAATTTTTTTTTCAACGTTTATTTATTTTTGAGACAGAGAGAGACAGAGCATGAACGGGGGAGGGGCAGAGAGAGAGGGAGACACAGAATCGGAAACAGGCTCCAGGCTCCGAGCCATCAGCCCAGAGCCTGACGCGGGGCTCGAACTCATGGACCGGGAGATCGTGACCTGGCTGAAGTCGGACGCTTAACCGACTGCACCACCCAGGCGCCCTGAGAGGAGATATTTCTATTAAGGATGTAGGATTAAGTAATTATAGTTTTTCAATGTTTTATTAGAATAACATTCACATAACATAAAATTCACCCTTTCAATGTGTACAATACAGTTGTGTTTATTATTGTCAAAAGGTTATACAGCACCACCATATCATTCCAGAACATCATCATCCTCAAAAGAAACCCTATACCTATTATCGGCCATTGCCCCTCCCCTCTTCCATCCCCTGGGCAACCACTGATCTACTCCCTGTCTCTAAGGGTTTGCCTCTTTTGGACATTCATGTAAATGGAATCTCATGCAATATGTGGTTCTTTGTGGCTGGTTTTTTTCATTTAGCATAATATTTCTGAAATTCATCCATGTCATATCATGTATCTGTACTTCATTCCTTTGTATGGCCAAATAATATTCCATTGTGGCTATATCACTTTTTATTAATATCTTCATCAGTTGATGGGCATTTTGGTCATTGCCTCTTTTGGGATATTATGAATAATGTTATAAGTAATTGTATTTTAATTCATCAAATATTTGCCAAGTGCATGCTCTGTGCCAGCCATTGCCTTAGGGGTATAGGATTGACAAGATTAAGACTGTCCCTGCCCTCAGAGAGCTCAGCCTAGCAGGAGAAATTCACCACATGTATGAATATCCACTCACATAGTAGAGGTAGGATGAGATACTATAATGGGAGTGGTCTGCTTTAGTCATTGGTGGCTACAGAGAGGATATGAACTTTCAAGGTGGCCGTTGAAGGATGAGTTCATTAGGTTGCAGCAGGGGCATCCTGAAGAGAAGGAATGGAATGAGCCAAAGTATGGCAGTATGCAAGAACATGGGACATTAGTGGAAGAGGCAATGGCTTGCCAAAGCAGAGTTCATGGAGATGAGAGGCTAGAAATGACGCTGGGCCATTTCCAAATGGGAAGGTCACTTAGTGTTCATAATAAACAGAAGCTCCAATGTAGAAACAGTTGAAGGTGCATGGCTCCCCAAAGTATAATTTCTTGATGCAGTTAGTCCCCTTTCCCTGGTTGATTGTCACGTGCTTCTCTCCTGTATTTGTAGGTGACCAACACCCAGATATTCCAGCTTCAGTTTCATACTGGATTCATACCACTGGAAACCACAGTTTTAAAGTTCACCAAGTGAGTGCTACTTGGACTGAAATCCGTTTTCAATATAAGCAGCTGGGAAATGCTGGAAGCCAAATACCCAAGGTTCCTTTGCTCTGTGCTGCAGCAACCCCTGGAATCCTGTGCTGCAGGACTGTTGAGTGTAGCTTAACAACACAGAGAGCCTGGTTGCATTTCACAGCTGGCAGTTGGGTATAATTTGTCTTGAGTGCAAATGGATCAAGGACTTCAAATAGAAAGGTCTAAAATTCCATGTGAGAGAACAAGACTGAACAAAGAGGAAACAAAGTATCAATACTGTGACCCTTTGCATCTGTGTATCCCTTTGTGTTTTTCAACAGTGATGGCAGTTTAATCAGTGGTATGATATGAGCAATGACCCTTGAGACAGGATGCCAGGCTATAGCACTAAAGCAGGGTACCCTTCTGTACCAGAGAATGAACCTTAGTTGCTTTATTATAATGTGGTTTAGGGAACTCAGAGGGATGGCTGAAGCCAGGGTGATAGGTGGGAGTTGTGGGAGTCAGGGTAGGGGTAGACATTCAAGAGCTCAGGGTGGCAGCTGGGGACTATCTCACTATGTTAACAACTAATTTAGCCTTGCCTGGGCATACTGGCTGGATCTATTGCCCTACTTCCTAACATGTTTTTATATGCAGTAATATCCAAATTCTTTAGTTGTACTTAGTATTCTCCCCCTTTCCTCTAGTGAGGCCAGAAGAGTAAAGTACCTTATCTGGTTAGTGATTGATTTTTCCCTAGAAATGAGTCTTAGGGTTAACCTGAGTCAACCTACAATGGTTTCTGTGCTGAACATCATAGTGGATCCATTGTTTTTCACTGATCTTCTTCTTTTAAATTGCTATTTAGACCTGAATTGGACGCATGTGATGTACCAGAAAAATATCCTCAGCTATTTCAGGTGACTTTAGATATAGAACTACAGCCCCACGACAAGGTGATAGACTTAACCCCACCATGGGAACATTACTGCACGAAAGATGTCAATCCCAGCATCCTCTTCTCTTCTCACCAGGAGCATCAAGAAACTCTGGTCTTAGGAGGTATGAGTCACCTGGTGGTTTTGTTTTCAGGACAAAGCCTCTGTGTTATTATCACTTTGACTTATTTCCTATTTCATTGATGCTGCATGGTCTTTTCTCTTGCAGGACAGGCTCCAATAGATATCCCTCCGGACAACCCCAGGCATTTTGGGCAAGGTGGCTTCTTTTCCTCTCTCTGTTGGCAAGGTACTTCTAAGCATTTCTCTAAGTTACGTGGTTAGATACTTAAGTCATGTGGTGATTCTGTAAAAATGGTTTGTTCTCAAAGCAGCCTCAAAAAAAGAAGCATTTAGAAGTCATCCCTGTTCTTCCTTACTTTACACCCTCCCTGCTCATTCTTTTTTCAAATCAGTCAGTTTGAAATTACCTCTCTACTTTGAACTTCATGGATACTCTTAGACTGATGTAAAAGGCCATTTAAAGCTGAATTCTACCTTTTCTTTCTATGCTGTCTTTTGGATTACATCTTTCCTGGACTTATGAATCAATATGATATTTTCTAGGATTTCCCTTTATGCTGCTGACACACAAATTAACAAAAGACTCTATCTCCTGCCTTGAGTACATATTCTGAAAATATAAAATCTGGCATTTCCCCCAGAGGGATCTCACCACTAGGAGGGCAGATCTAAGCTTCTCCTGGTGCAGAAAAGGCAAGTACTTTGCCCATATGTCTCTGCTATATGCTTTAACAGCCATGGCAAAAATTGGTCTCAATAATAGTATCCTTTTCCACCAAACCTGGACATGTTTTTAGAATCTCTCCAACATAACACTTAAGATTGCTGCCATCAGTAGACTGGCAATGGCATTCTATCCATACACATTCGCCTCCTTGCTATAGAGTTTGCTGAGGTTAACTCCAAGATTGAATGTAGAATTGAATCGTAAGGACTTTCTGTAAGAAAGGGGTAGGAAAATAGCTTTGACAATGCTCTGGTTAGAGTTTTCTTGGTTGACCTTTCTTCACTGTGCGAACATGAGACGGTATTCCTGTTGCCTATGGAATTTTCCATGTTTCGTGAAAAAAAAAGTTCACAGAATTCCTTTGAATTAAAAGCCTTACTTTCAGAATTTCCTCCTGGGAAATGGGAACTCAGAGGGATGGCTGAAGCCAGGGTGATAGGTGGGAGTTGTGGGAGTCAGGGTAGGGGTAGACATTCAAGAGCTCAGGGAATTTCCTCCTGGGAAATGGGACCAATAGCATAAAAAAATTGGAAAATCCAGTGAAATCTAGATAACAGGTCGACTCCCCAGTTTCCCCCAGTAACAAGTCCCCTACATCTTCCCTTCCTCACATAAGGGCTTTTAATTAAACTTCACTTTTTCATCTCCACTGACATTGTAGTAATTTAGAAGTCATTCCTGTTAGTAGGCTCTGAAATAGGTTTTAGCAGAAATGCACAATTCCTTATCTGAACTTCACAGAAGTATTTCAGGAATGCAAAAGTTTTTTAATTTTAGGTGATATGGGATATAAATGGTATATTACTCAGCATCCCCAGCGGCATCTCAGACAACTTGTAATGGAGCATATTAATGTTTCCGCAGTGAAACATGTAAAAATAATCACTTTGGGTGAGATAAATGAAGAGTATACATATGTACGTATCAGTTCTGGTCAGATTTTTCCACCAGCCAAATTTGTTCCAGACTTAGGGAAACCTTTCCCTTTTCATAGCTTTTTGCATTTCAGAATCAGGAATTAGGGATGTGGATCTGCCCTTGATTTAGAATGTGGGTCTACCTAACATTAAATAACCAAGTTTCCTTGAAGGATCTGTCTCAAGGAGGGCCTGGAAAGTCACCCATCAGCCTCTCCATCCCTTCCCCAGAAGAGACCTCTTCCCTGCTGCCCACTTTATGCTGAATATATCGCTGTCCAGGATGGTATAGGGACCATCCTGAGCGGAATCTCTGTGGCTATTCACTGGTTAGGTGTGTGGTTGGCTTCTACTCCTGACTGTGGGAGGAAGGCCTTGCTTTTGGCTGCAGGCCACATGAAAAAAAAAAAAAAAAAAAAAAAGAGGAATCGGCAAAGGATTAAGAAATTATGGGACTTCTTTTCAAAGCACCTAGAAGAGCACCTGGAAGATGATAATCATAATCATAAACACTTAGGTACTACTTAATATTGATCTGAACACTTTCTGTTTATCATCTCCTGTAGTTCTCACCATAGCCACTGGAGTTAGGTACTATTGGTTACCCCCATTTTGCTGAGGAGGAAACCAAGGCACAGAGAAGTAAAGTAACTTTCTCAGTGTCACAGAGCCAGTAATTAGAGCTGGGATTCAAACCCAGCCTGTCTGGCTCCAGACTTCCTGCTTTTCCCTGCTCCACGATACTGCCTCTCAGCTGCTCAACAAAAGGTGATTGGATGATGGGAAATACATCCAGCAGTTTTCTATTGGTAAGGGTCTGAGAGCATTATTTGCTCAGGGCTGCTGCTTGTCTCTTTCAGAGTTATGTACCAACTCTAACTCAAAAAAATCAGTAATGCTGGGGCCAGTAACTAACTATTTATTGGCATATTGGCCTTCCTTAGATCAGAAATCGGAAAAATCATTCTGTGAGGAGGACCATGCTGCCCTAGTGAATCCAGAAAGTGAGCAATCGGATGATGAACTTCTGACCCTTTCCAGTCCACATGGCAATGCTAGTGGTGACAAACAGCATGGAGCTAAAAAGCCCAGCAAAAAGCAGCAGGAGCCAGCTGCCCCTCCACCCCCTGAAGATGTGGACCTTCTGGGTCTAGAAGGATCTGCAGTGAGTAAGAACTTCTGTCCGCCAGTGGCTCCTCCCACTAATTCTGAACTGCTGAGTGACCTGTTTGGAGGTGGAGGTGCGGCGGGGGCTGCCCAGGCTGGACAGTCAGGGGTGGAAGACATGTTTCATCCGAGTGGACCTGCGTCTACCCAGTCGACACCACGCCGCTCTGCCCCCTCCACCTCTGCATCTCCAACCCTAAGAGTGGGAGAAGGTAATTTTTTCCATGTTACACTAAACCTCTCAATTTTGAATTGGAACCTTTGGGTGAAGCAGGTAGAATTGAACTTTCCTAATAAGCTAGACTTTTCTGGTCTCCCTGAAAGTCCCTTAGAGGTCTCTGTTTTCAGTTAATGGGGAAATGTCCATTTTGGTAGGACAGTGTAAGAGTGAATATTTGAGCTCTTCGCCCTTTCTTTGGTTTTTTTGTTTGTTTGTTTGTTTTCCTCCAAAGCTTCAATCTCTGAGCTGCTTTAGTTACTTCTTCTTGGAGATGTAGATTGATGAATTATTACTAATAATAACAGCTAATATTTGTGGGCTACTTACTATTTGCCAAACATGGAATTTAACACTAAACACAGATTCAGTTATTATAAAAATCTGGCAGTTAGGTGCTTTTATTATCCCTATTTTTTAAAGTTTATTTATTTATTTTGAGAGAGAGAGAAACAGAGCACACAAGCTGGGGGAGGGGCAGAGAGAGAGAATCCCAAGCAGGTTCTGTGCTGTCAGTTGCAAGCCCAACGTGGAGCTGAACTCATGAACTGTGAGATCATGATGTGAGCTGAAGTCAAGAGCCAGACACTTAACCTCTGAGCTACCAGGCACCCCATCCCTATATTTATAGTTGAGGAAATGGAGGCTTAGGGTCAAATTAGTAGCATACATTTATAAGGCTAATCATTGGTGAGGCCAGGGTCCAAAACTGGGCCATTTGACTTGAGAGCTCCCTCTTAGTTTTTCTGTAATGTCTTCCTGGAACTGTAATTTTCTAAATCCACTTTGGTTATGCAAGGGAGTACTTGGTTACCTCAAGGTATATTTAAGAGACTCATGCCAGCCGCACAGCTGACTGTAGCAGATGAGCCCTTGCCAGTTGGTGCCCACGTGGTTCAGCTTCACTCTGCTCATTGCTGCAGACTTGACCTTTCCTGTGACTAATCGTCCGCAAGTTTTTGAAATTTGCAAAACACAGTAGATGGCTAAGCATTTTAGCTGCCCCTTCTTACCTGATATCACTATTAACCAAGATGACATCATATTAGGAAGAGTAAAGAGAAATGTCTCAACTCTTCACTCATATGGTAATCTGCGGGGACTTCCTTTCCCAAGCTAATCCTTCAGTTCTCAGAAGGCTCTGGGTGGTCTTGATTTGTAGTAAGTAGTTCAGTTGGAGGCATTTTTTGTAAGAGTGAGTCTTAAAATCCTGGAATGTGGTTGCTGAGGCTCAAACTCCTACATTAGTTATTGATGGAGCCACGGTGGTATCCTGGTGCCCTGAATCCCAGGCTGTTTCTTCTATATTTGGCTTCCTTTTATCCAGTTCTTACTCACCACAGTGAATTAAAGGTGTCAGGGAAGAAAAATCTGCAAGATCCAGACTATCATAGTACTCAGTCATGTTTCAAGACCATGTACCTTGTGTGACTTTATTTAATTCATCACAGTCCCATGAAGATAGTTATGTTCTGGTGTCAGAGCTAGAAGGGATCTTTGAGAGACATTAGTTAAATCTGTGCCTCAGGTTGTAGATAATGAAATTGAAGCTGGATATATTGATTGACTTGGCTTTCTGAACCTCAGTTTCACTGTCTATAGAATGAAGATAATACTACTGTGTGATAGGGAAAGACTGAGAATCAGCTGAAGTATTTTTTATGAAAGGCAATGTAAACCCTAAGAAATGATACAATATTAGTTTTATTGTGTTGTTGCCAGAGATCTCAGCTGCTGGCTTTGTTCTGGTCTTCTTAGTATATTCACAAACTTGTCCTCACTTCTCTAAATCTGCATCTAGTTTCTAGCAAGTTATTGAGAGGCAGTGTTTTGGGAACAGCATTTGAGTTACATAGCAACACTCATTTCTCCTCTCTTTCACTTTCAAGCGAGCCAAAGACCACTAAAAACATAAAACTAAATAAAGCCTGGTCAGTGAGGTTTTCTAATGTTCACCTTAATAGCAAACCCCTCCTGCCTGGTATTTGTCCATTAATTTATTGAATATAAGTACAGTTTATTCATTGGGCATCTCCTTTGGTCCAAACATGGTTTTGCCACTTATGGAGGGCCCAAGAAGCCCTCATTTATAGTGTTGATGGATCTTCCAATGGATAAATCTACAGTCCTCCTTTGTCCACAAAGATGGGATTCTTCCTGAGGTCAAAAATCCTTAGGTTCCATTGTTGGCCCTGGAGGAAGTTTTAAGGATAAGATGGGCCTGTGGAGCAGCCCAGAATGCAAGCTTCATTCCAGTTTTTCAAATATTTGGCCTAAGGCCTGGCAATAGTGGCAGCTCTTGAATATTTATTGAATGAATGAACTCACAGGACAAAGAAACACATTTTTCCTTTTTTTTTTCTAGGTGCCACCTTTGACCCATTTGGAGCACCTTCTACACCATCAGGTCAGGATTTGCTGGGTTCTTTTCTGACCACATCTAGTGCTTCCAGTGACCCCTTTCTTCAGCCTACAAGAAGTCCTTCACCTACAGTGCATGGTAAGAACATATTTTATATTGTGTTCAGTGGAACATAGTTTTCCACAAAATAACAATAGGTTCTCAGATATAAAAGCATCCAGTAGGTGTTTGTTTTATTTTGTTTGGGGAAGCTATATAATGCATCTCTCTTTTTTTTTTTCTTTAAAAAATTTTTGTAATGTTTCTTTATTTTTGAGAGAGAGAGAGAGAACACACACACAAGTGAGGGGAGGGGCAGAGAGAAGGAGACACAGAATCCAAAGCAGGCTCCAGGCTCTGAGCTGTCAGCACAGAGCCCAACATGGGGCTTGAACCCACGAACCACAAGATCATGACCTGAGCCCAAGTCAGACGCTTACCCAGCTGAGGCACCCAGGCGCCCCTCTCTTTTGGAAATTAACAATTAAGTTAACATTTTATTTTATTTTTCAGAATACAATCATTCTATTTAAATTCAAAATGAAATGTGTAGGCCTATAATTTTTGCAAAAGAAAGGAGAGAAAACACATTTGTTTAAAGCAGCCTGTCAAAAGATGGTATGTTTGGGAGGGAAATATTATTGGTATCTTTAGATACCTTTACAAAGAAAACTCACAACCCTCTGAACTAAGTAGATCAAGTATTTTTATTCATTTTAGAGAAAGATACTGAGACAGATAACTATTGACTTCCTTAAGATGAAGTATCTAGTTAAAAATAGAAAATATACCAGAACTTTTATCTCTTAATTCTCAGGGTGATATATATTTTTCTCAACTCTGCTGCCTCACTCTGTGCCCATGCAAAATACCAACAACTCCTGCTTAAATTAGATCCATATGGACATTGAAGTCCAAAGTAGTATCAATAAACAAGTTAGTTTTAATAGCCTTCGAATGGTTGCAGAACATATTGTAGACACTGGATTTGAACAATTAGAATTTAATCATTTTTTTTTTACCATGGATAAAAGTTTATTATTTTATTTTATTTTATTTTTTAAAAATATAATTTATTGTCAAGTTGGCTAACATACAGTGTATATACAGTGTGCTCTTGGTTTTGGGGCTAGATTCCTGTGATTCATCGCTTACATACAATACCCAGTGCTTATCCCAACAAGTGCCCTCCTCAATGTCCATAACCCATTTCCCCTCTCTCCTGACCCCCCATCAACCCTCAGTTTGTTCTCTATATTTAAGAGTCTCTTATGGTTTGCCTCCCTCCCTCTTGTTTGTAACTATTTTTTTCCCCTTCCCTTCCCCCATAAAGTAGTTACATTAATATTTTAAAAGCTCTGGGATATCTTGAGCACATGAAATGTGGCTAGTCTGATTTTAAATGCTCTCTAGGTATAAAATACACACCAGGTTTCAAAACTTAGTACAAAAAAAGAATGTAAAATATCATTAATATTTTCATATTGATCACAGAAGATAATATTTTGACTATATTGGGTTAAATAAAATGTATTAAAATTAATTCCATCAGTGTTTTTTTAAAATCTTTTTTGATGTGACCACTAGAAGATTTTGAATTCCATGTGAAGCCCACTTTATATTTCTCTGATATCTACTTGTAAGTGCAAAAGGGTATCATTTAGGTAACTCTGATTAAAACTGGAGCTCTTTGGGGCGCCTGGGTGGCGCAGTCGGTTAAGCATCCGACTTCAGCCAGGTCCCGATCTCGCGGTCCGTGGGTTCGAACCCCGCATCAGGCTCTGGGCTGAGGGCTCAGAGCCTGGAGCCTGTTTCCGATTCTGTGTCTCCCTCTCTCTCTGCCCCTCCCCCGTTCATGCTCTGTCTCTCTCTGTCCCCAAAATAAATAAAAAACGTTGAAAAATAAATAAATAAAATTAAAAAAAAATAAAACTGGAGCTCTTTAAGTGGAGGACAAATGGCTTTGAGCTAGAGAATTGTAGCTTATACCTGATGTTGAAGGCTATGGAACAGTACTGGCCTCAACCTGGAGGGTGAGGTCCTATGGAAGGCATCTTGTGGAAGGAGCTCGCCCGGTGAATTCAGTCTAGTCATCAGCTTGACTTCTTGGAAGCCATGCAAACGCAAACAGAAGATGAATTGTACAACTTTGGTCAAACTCTAACTTCACTAAACATGAGAACTCATTCCAGGAATAACTGTTGTGGGTGATTTCCAATTGGTCTTAAATCTCAAACTATTTGAAGTGGGTCCACCAGACAACATACAAGAAATTCAGCTCTCACCCTTGAATAGTTCCCAATGAAGAGAATCTCCTGATTGGAAGCTGGTTACTTTGGGATGAAAGATGCAGGGATAGAGGTTAAACCTATTGTTTTTGATCACTTATTTAAAATGTAAGTCATGTCATTGCTGTGCTGAAAATGCGTCTTTATGCCACTCAGCATGGAAGTTAGAGTCCTTAGATGGCCTTTATGGCCCTATGTGCTTTTGACCTGAGTGGTGTGACCCATATCCCCTCCCTCTTGCCCTCTCCATTCCAGCCATACTGTCCTCTTGCTGTTGTACCGGCTGTCCCCTCTTCCCCAGGCATTGGTATGATGAACTTCTTCACCTCCTTTGATCTTTGTCACCTGGCACCTTCTCAGTGGGGTCTGCTCTGACTGCTCCATTTCATAGCACAACTCATCCCTGTGCCCAGACTCAAGATTTTCCTTTCTGCTGTATTGATAAACTTCCAAAATCCTCAATAATTTACTTACATGTTTTGTTTCTTTTTTTGTTTCCCATCTCTCCCCACTAGAATATGAGCTCATAAAGGCAAGGAGTTTAGTTTGTTTTGTTCATTAATGCTTCACTAGTGCCTAGAAGAATTATTGGTACATAGTAGGTGTTATCTATCTTACCATATAATATGTAAATATAAAATGAATTAACTCATTTTTTTCCTAAGTCTCTTTGAAACATAGTTAGTGATAGTGTTAATAAGGTTATGTATTTTCCTGACTTTAATACTTTGAACTTATTATTTTCATAAGGATACTATCTTTTGTGTCCCATAGGTATGGATGTTCATAGTTCAGCATGACAATTCTGGATTCAGTTCTCTGTTTTTTGTTAATTGGTTAGAAGATGTTTATCACCCACTCGAAGCCAGTTAGCACCTCTTTGTTTTGCTGCTATACTTCTTGTTTTGTCCTGTGTCATGCCAGACTGAAAGGAATTTTCCACTATCCTTTCTGGAAAAAACAATTATTCCACTGTTAGCGGGTCAGTTGCATTATCTTCATACAGGATAACATATAGGTCAGACTCAGATGTCAGATTAGGAGGTCAAATTGCCCACCTCTGACTTCTATAAGGTACCACTGATCTCTTCTGAAAATCAAGAAATACTTCCTGCCTTTGAGTTCTACAGATATTTATTGAACATCTACTCTGAAGAGAACAATCACTTGGGGCATAGTGTGGAATAGAAAGTAAATAACCATAATTAAAAGCAAAATAGAGATTGAAAGTGTTAGGTAATTACCTTTCCATTTGTATATTCCTATATCTTCAACAGATTTTAAATTTCTTGAGGACAATGTCTTTTAGTTCTCTGTTCCCTTGTATGGTGCCTTGCATATGGTAGATGGTCATAAAGATTTGTGGGCTTGATTAGTAACAAAGTTGGGGTTCTAACAACTATTTATACATCCTAGTTTAACATAAGACTACGATCAGAAGTTAAAGAAATTAAATAGCAAGTGTTAGTGAAATTGTGTGATTTCTATCACATTTTTCATGGGTTACTATGGTAGAAGAGGAATAGAAAGGAAAGAACTCTTATGGCTGATAAGGACATGTTCTTTTTAACTTAATGATGGGAAAGTACAAGAAGTCTTATACAGACAAATACAAGACTTGGTAGTTCTAATTTTGGTGCTCTGGTGGTGGTGGGGTGTGTGTGTGCGTGTGTGTGTGTGTGTGTGTGTGTGTGTGTGTGTGTTTAGTACTATTTGCCATGTAAGTTTAATGTTTGCATTTTACCCACTGATTTTATGGACAGAACCTACAGATGCCTTAGAAATAAATTCTTTCTTATGGGACCTTGTTTCTTATTTGGATTTTATAGGTTCAGAAAAAACTTACTCTACCAACGTGTATTCCTCTAATATACCTGATTCTTTGTAGATGAACATTTCTTTTAAATCCTGCATTTGGAATTTTGAGAGGGGCCAGCATGATTTCTTTTGAAGCTGCAGTAAATTTGTTTTGAGTGACAGTAGACTCTCTCTGACACCAGCATGGTGGATGATGTATAGTTGCTCAGTACATGTTCTGACTGACTCATCATTCTTTGTTCACAGCAGAGGAGAAAACAAAATTTCAGTTCTAAGCTGATCATGACTCTCCTACACTTATTAATACCAGCTTAAGGCAAATTGAGCTTAAGTTTCTTTTCATCTTTTCTTATTGGCCACTGACTTTGTGTTAAATGTAGAGGTGGGACACACAAAGGTGAATAAGATAGTTCTTGCCTTCAAGGAGCTAACAATTTAATGGAGACAGACATATGCACAGTTATAATTCAAAGTGTGGATGGAAGTAAAATATAGGTAAGCCAAAGAAGGAAGAGTAACAAAGAGTATATGGGTTCTACCAACTGTCACATAAGTAACCATACATGGAGACCCAAAGATATCAATATTGCAAAATGTTTGGAGAATTCAGAAGGAGATGAATCATGTGGGGCCATGGCAGGTCACGCAGGCTTCATGGAAGGGACAGTATTTATCTGTGTGAACTCAGAAAAGTGGGTTCTCAGTTATTTTGTGACGATTCTTTCTCTTCTCCCCATTTCTTCTGCAGCGTCTAGTACACCTGCTGTGAACATTCAGCCAGATGTTTCGGGAGGTTGGGATTGGCATACCAAACCAGGTAAAAGTCAGCAGGTTATTTTTGTGCGTATTTAGCCAACTGCTAAAGCATAATCCTTCACTGAGGCTATAATGAGTACTTATTGAGTATCATATAGCTCACCTATGTAATTTCCTAAAGACTCACATTCTCATGGAGGTTTTCACACTGCCTTTGATGGCATGACAACAGTGTGTTTTATACGTTATTTATAACTATTCTCAGTTTCATTTGCTGAATGTCTGTCTTGACAATAGAATTAGACAAATCTGGGTATACAGCTAACTCAACCACTTAGTGACACTTGGATTTTTTTATAAGCCTGAACCTCTGTTTTTTAAATCCGTAAAATAGGGTTTATAATTCTTGTCCCACACAGCTACATGTTTTTTCTAATATACAGTTTTTTTTATTTTAAAGAGAGAGAAAGAGAGAGGCTCGGGGTCAGAGGGAGAAAGAGAGAGAATCTTAAGCAGGCTCCATGCTCAGTGCAGAGCCCAATGTGGGGCTCAATCCCACAATCCTGGTATCATGACCTAGCCAAAATCGAGAATCGGATGCGCAACCAACTGAGCCACCCAGGCACCCCTGTATAAGTGAAATAGTTCATATGAAATTTTCTGGCATAGAGTAGGTACTGAATAATCTGAATAGTCTTCTTTATTTTTTTAAAAACTTTTTATGTTTATTTTATTTTTGAGTGAGTGAGAGAGAGAGACAGAGACAGAGACAGAGCGTGAGTGGGGGAGGGGCAGGGAGAGAGGGAGACACAGAATCCAAAGCAGGTTCCAGGCTCTGAGCTGTCAGCACAGAGCCTGATGCAGGGCTTGAACCCATGAACCGCAAGATCATGACCTGAGCCAAAGTCGGCGCTCAACCAACTGAGTCACCTAGGTGCCCCTGAATAGTCTTTCTCAACAAAAGGTTTGTTTTAGGGTTGAATTTGTCTGTAATAAATAAATTCTCTTTCTCATGGCTAGTATGGTATTTCTTGAGAGCCATCTTCATGTGATTGCATTTCCAATGCTGTGCGGGTTAACACACACACACACACACACACACACACACACACACACACACACTATATGCTTATCACAGCAACTTTTTGAAGCGGTTGCTATTTCTTTATTTAACCAAGAAGAAAATGTTGAAGCTCAGAGAAGTTAAGCAACATGCCAAAAGTTACTCAGCTAGGAAGTGGAATTCAGAGCCAGGCCTGACTCCAAATCCCAGAGGAAAGAATGGAGTCAGGTGAGATGAGAGGTAAACATTGGATGTAGTAGTTTGCAGGGATGGCTAGGAAATGACATATGCCTCCTCTGTTCCCTGTCCCTGCTCCTACTCACTAGCAACTTGTAACATCTTTGCAAACCCTGTCCTAATTTCCCCTAAGAGGTAAAATGAGCAGTAGCCCTGGATTTCTGAATTCCAGAATTCAGCCTCCGACAACTAACTCATTTTCAATGATTTTATTTCCTTTTCAGGAAGCTTTGGAATGGGAAGCAAGTCAGCTGCCACCAGCCCAACAGGATCCTCGCATGGCACGCCCACGCATCAAAACAAACCGCAGACTCTGGATCCTTTTGCTGACCTTGGGACTCTAGGTATGAACTCAGCAGGTTAAGATATAAGTAACATTTACTTATGGCTACAAAGCCTCACATCTAAATCTTTGGTGTTACAACAAGCTGGTATTGTTACCTGGGACCTAGAATAGTACGTATCCTTAAGCAATGCTCTAAAATCTGAGACTGGCTTTTTAAAAAAAGGAAATGGGCCCCAAGTACTGGGTTGGAACTAACCCCTATTAAATCGTTTCTCCAGTGCCTAATTTTGGTTTAGTAGCATGAGTACAGTCAGAACTTCCAGGAGTACCTCACAACACAGTTTGGCTACAGCAAAGGTAATGAATGTGTACGGAAATGCTGAGAGAAGAGGCCAGTCGTATAGATTTGTGATGTATAGGGCCAGCCATGCACAGGCCTTCCTGTGATGTTCCCCCTGAGATCCTCACACTGGCATCCCTCTTCTCTCCACTGACTACAGTGCTCTCTGCTTAGTTTGTAAAATTCCATACAGAAAATAGACTCTGTATAGAATTCTCAAAGTGTTTTTCATCTTATGTTGATCATTTTTGAGGGATAAGTGTTCCATGAGCAAGTGATTTTGGAGGCGCTAAGTTGCTAAGTTCTGTGGACTTAGATTATTGCAAAAACTTCTGAGCGTACCTGTTCATGGTGAGGTTCCCCAAAAGGATACAGTTTGCAGGGTTCTCATCTATCTCACCAAGGAACCTTTTTTCAAGGAACAGCTTGTTGGACTAGCATATTATGAAACCTTTTCTTCATCCTTTTTCCTTTCTTCTCCGTGCAGTGCAGAGTTAAATAAGGGAGTGGAGATAGCCCTCACACACAGTTTTGAATTGGCCATATTGATAGTTTAGATTCTCAAGAGAGCCTTTATGAGGCATTTAGAGCTAAATTGTCTTAAGGGAATAAGAACGTGACTCCATTTTTGCCAGTAATTGTATTGGAATCTTAACCTTCCATCATGCCCTCTTTAGAATTGTTTTTTCTTTTAATAACTCTTAAAATCATTTTCCTTTCTCTCCTTTTCCTTTCTCTTCCTTCTTAATGTAAGTTTCAAATTTTAAAATAATAACAGGTGAAATTCTGCTTCAAATAAAATCTTATTCACTGTTCATTTTTTTATTCATTCCACAACTATTTACTAAGTGCCTTCTGTGTGTTAACATTGTCTTAATAAAAACCAACCAAACAAGAAAAACCAAAACAACATTCCTGCTTTCCTAAAGCTTATATTCTAGAAGAGGAATGAAATAGTAAATGAATAAATATGTGATATAATGTCAAATAAAAATAACAATTAATGTTTATTGGGGCTTTACTGTGTGCCAGGCACTATTTTAAGTGTTTTACGTTTCATTTAATCTCCCCAATAATCTTTTTTTAAATGTTTATTTATTTTTGAGAGAGAGAGAGAGCGAGCGAGCAAGCACAAGTCGGGGAGGGGCAAAGAGAGAGGGGGACAGAGGGTCTGAAGCAGGCTCTGCGTTGACAACATAGAGCCCGATGCAGGGCTCGAACTCATGAACTATGAGATCATGACCTGAGCTGAAGTCAGACACTTAACCAACTGAGCCACCCAGGTGCCCCTATCCTGAGTAATCTTTAAAACAATTGTTTTAAGTTTATTTTGAGAGAGAGAGAGAGAGAGAAAGCACACGCATGAGAGCAAGGCAGGGGGAGGGGCAGAGAGACAGGGAGAGAGAGAATCCCAAGCAGGCTCCATGCTGTCAGCACAAAGCCTGATGTGGGGCTCGAACTCATGAACTGTGAGATCATGTCCTGAGCCAAAATCAAGAATTGGATCCTTAACGAGCTAAGCCACGCAGGCACCACCCCCCCAATAATCTTTTGAAGTAGAGACTGTTATCCTCATTTTGCAGATGATGAGGAAACTGGGGCACAAGCGATTAGGTCACACTCCCGAGTCATGGGTTTTCAGCACCATGATGTCTGGCTCTGGAGCTCACACTCCTAAGCCCTGTGCTAAGTGCTATGAAAGAAAAAAAGCAGAGAGGGATGGTGAGTGATAGATGGCCTGGGGTGTTATGTCAGGTATCAGGTGGTTAGGAAAGGCCTCTCTGAAGAGATGATCTTTATAGGAAGTTCCTTTTAAAAATCCAGCATCACATCTTGCATTTAGACATCATGTCATTTTAGGCAACTTTAATCCGGAATCATTCCTTTGCCTTTTTTTTTTTTTTTTTTTTTTTTTTTTTTTTTTTATTTTTCCTTGAAGGATAGAGGCCAGTTGAGAAAGTCTCAATTTAGGTTTGGTATTAACTTTGATCACTTCCCTAAGAGGGTATCTGCCAGGTTTCTTTATCATAATGTTATTATTTTTTCCCTTTGTAATTGATGAGTTAGCTGGAGGAGATAATTTGCAACTACCCTATATGAGAATATTCTATTCTCTATCTGATTTAGCTACTGGTTTTAACAGTCATTAATGATTCTTGCCTGAAGCAGTTATTACTGCAATGGTTGCAGAATTGTGATTTTTCTGATTCTTCCCTTCTTTCTACATATATTAATTGGCACTGTAAAAAAAAAATTTCCTTTTCTTTCTCTCTCTGTCTCTCATCAGAATGGCCTAATAGATTCTTTTTTGATTCATTACTGTCATTATTTTCTCTAATGTTCATGTCTAAGATTTGGTTTGGTTTGTGAAATCCCCTCCTTTTTTCTGGATTCTGTGTTCTTTTCACTCAAGTTCATCATTTTTTGAAAACTTTCTTAACGGCACAAGATGTTCTAGGCTTGTTGTGAAATGTTTTCTCCCCAGTCCTAGAATCAGTCATTCCCCAAGGAATCCTTATTCCTTTTTGTGGAGAATGATATTCGGAAACCAGGATCTGTGCACTAAGTGTGTTCATTGGTACTGGGGTGGGAGTCACTGCTCTGCCTTTCAGGAGCTAGATAGAGATAGGAGATGCGTGGATCTAGCTACATATATAATCCCATCCAATACACAGGGTGCTCCTTTGCCTTGCCCTTTTCCACATATGTATTTTCCATTTCCCTGGATCTCAACAACATTAATTGCCACACAACAAAAATTTCAGAATAGCGACACCCATATCACTACAACAACCAACCTGTTGGGAGGAGTTCAGGAATTCTTTGTTATTTTTGAAATGTAATTAATTCTTACAGTCGCTGGGAAAACTAGTTTCCTAAATTCCTGCATGTTTCAAGTCACGTAACTTAGGAAACTTAAGTGACTTTCCTAAAGCCACACAGTGAACAGGTGTATAAGCAGGGCTACAAGCCAGAATTTTTGACACCTAGGCAGTTGCTTTGAAGATTAAAATCAAACTTCCAAATTACATAGCTGCAGTTCAGAAAAGACAAAAGACAGTGTCCTTCTCCTAAAGGTGTTTTCACATTGAACAATTCTGTTCCATACAGCAGTGCCTTAGTTCCTCCCATAGACATTCTGATCTAATTGGTCTGGCGGTGGCCTGAATATAGGGAGTTTTAAAAGCTCCCCAGGTGATGGTAATGCCCAACCACAGCTGATAACCAACTGCTGTAGCTTTTAATGAGGATAGCAGTGGCCTCTGGGTTTAGCAGCTGGTTTGCATTTTTGTCAGTTCCCTGCTCCGGTAGCATTAAAAATTAAATTTCTGAACATGGGAAGAGAAGATTCTGGAAGAGTGGGCATCAGAAAGTCCTACAATGTTGACGAGCCCCTTGAGAACAGGATCTGCATTTATCTTTTCACCACCGTGTCTGCAGCCTAGCGTGTGAAGGATGTTCGATAGTGTTTTATAAATGAATGAATAAATGGCAGTGTAATGGGAATAAGGAAGCTTTTTTTTTTTTAGTGTTTAGGCGTTTCCATATTTATTTAATTAAATAATGTATATATATCAGAAGGGAGATAGTAAGCATCCTTAGACTGTAAAATGAAATTCCAGTGCAGAATGAATACCCAGCCTAAGGTGTATGTTGATGTGCTGTTGGCAGGAGGGCCCAGGTCCTCATGAAGAGACGCTTCATGCTAAGTTATGCACTGACAGGGGGCAATGCCAAGCCTCAGAGCTTCTGTCGTCACCTTTTCCTGTTACCAAGTATTTATTAAGCCCTTATGATGTTTCAGTGTATTCTGGGCATATGAACTTGCATTATATTATAATGTATAATGTCTCTTAATTTGCTTAATCCATGGTTTGTGAAATATATTCATATAGCCTTTGTGTCTTTATGGTATACCTGTAACATAGATGTAGTTCTGGTTTTACAAATGAAACTGAGACTCAAGGAGGTGAAGTTTTTTCACTGAGCTTCGGAAGAGCAGGGATTCTCCATAGACCATATTCCCAATGCCCAGTACTTTATATGGCACACAGATGCTCTGTAAATACTGATGAGTGAATGTACGAATGGATGAATAAGTATGTGCATGAATGGGTGATAAAGCTGAGACTCAAACTCAGATTGACTCCAAGTTCCAGGGTCCATTATACAGCATTCCCACTGGGGAAAGAAGGAGGAGCCCCAGATCAAAGTAAAGGGAGAGATCTCTAGAAAGAAGAGATGGTAAGGGATAAATTGTAGTGACAGGCTCAGAGATTTGGGGAGGAATTAGGGTGCAGCAAATGAGCATGACATTTGGAGGAAGGATGCCTATAGTCAAGACTCAGCTCCGTTAACTAGATCATGAGCAAGTCAGGAAACTTCTCTGAACTTTGGATTTCCTCATTTTTAGAGTGGGGTCAGTAGTACTACCTACCTCCCTAAGAGTGTTGTATAGACTGAAGGAAGTAATAGACACAAAAGTATTTTGTACATTAGTTATTTTATTATCATATTAGTTATTTTATTATCACTGTCACTTTGGGTTTGGTGCACGAAAGGCTTCCTAGAGATCACCACATTTCAGTTTCTCATTTTACCTCTTTAAACACAAGACACTGTTGGTCTTTGTATTTTGGAAACAGCCCAGCACGAATGCAGTGAGTACTTAAAAGTTAGGAGATTGTGGAATCAGAATTCTACTTAAATTCCTGGCACAAAGTAATAATCATTTTTTTAAAGCTTGAGTAAGATCCTTTGCCCAGTTCAAAGTTGCCATAGTGCTGGCTGTGTTTATACCCCTGCAATGAAATGCAAGAAGTGTGAAATTGAAACCTACTTGTGAATTTTCAAAACATCTTTGTTTACTCACGGGCACTAACCATGTTTGTACTTACAGCAAACAATGATTAATCGTGATCATTGAAGTTTAAGTAGTGCCTTGATGAATGAATGTATTTTCTTTTATTCTCTCTTCTTGTCAATTCGGTAGTTGTAATTTTTTTTTTCCCAGTGAGAAATAGAATGTGCTTATAAGGTGGGAAGGAGAGGAGACATGGCAGTGTGGGAAAAGACAGGGCTTTTCTGGCTTGGAGTCCAAGACTTGGATTCAAGTCCCAGTTCTGCCACTGCTGGCTGTGTGACTTAGAGAAAATCACTCAGCTGCTCTGAACTGTGGTTTGTATATCTGAAGAAAAAGATGGGGTTATTAATATACACCTAGAAACATCACTGTGGGGATTAAAGGAAATATATGCCTGCAATTCCTTTAATTATTAGGAAGGTTAATTGTGCCATCAGTCAAGGTAATTTCCACTAAAGTCACTGAAAACAAAAACTTGGGACATAGAACTAGAGGTTACTCAAAACAACATTCCTCTCTCTCTCTCTCTCTCTCTCTCTCTCTCTCTCTCTGTGTGTTTCCATAGGTAGTTCTTCCTTTGCCAGCAAACCCACCACACCAACTGGACTGGGTGGAGGATTTGCGCCTCTCAGCTCACCGCAGAAGGCATCTCCGCAGCCTATGGGTGGAGGGTGGCAGCAGGGAGGTGGCTACAACTGGCAGCAGACACAGTCCAAGCCACAGCCCAGCATGCCCCACTCCTCTCCCCAGAACCGACCCAACTACAATGTGAGCTTCTCGGCCGTGCCTGGGGGGCAGAATGAACGTGGGAAAGGATCAGCTAATTTGGGTAAGGGTGATGGCGTGTAGCCTGACTATAGGGTAGCCTGTGTTGTCATGCTACCTGTATGTATGCCTGAAGAAGGAGACAGAAAACAATTCCACTATTTTCTGAGTCCATCTTTCGTTATAGAGATACAACAGGATCCCTCCCTCCCACTCTGTGCCTGAAGCACCTGGGTTTACCATGCTCTTGACACTCATCGCATCATTTTGTGACTTAGGCTAGTGCACTTGTCTGTCTCTTTCCACACTGACCCCTGATGGAGAGCAGGTATGGTGTCATGTGATCATTAGCACCTAGCTGAGGGCTTGGCGTGCAATAAGCACTAAACGAATACTGAATGGATGTGAGTGGTGGAGCGGCTGGATCTTGAAGCTGTTATTCCTTTGGAAGAGGGGGGAGAGGAGAAAGGTTGGGAGCCTTGTAAGCTCTGTGTTCACATTTGCCCTTGGATCCTCATCAGAGGAGGGTGTATGTCTTGGGACATTTATCTTGCTTATGCTCTGGTTGGCACATGTTTCAGATCACTGGGTTTCCTACATGGTTTTTTCCTCTCTTCTGAGAAGAAAGTTAAAAGAACACAAAATGGGCCAACAGCTAAGGCTAGAGGGTACTCTGGATAGTATTCAGTCTCTTCTTTTTTCTTTTTTTTGAATGGGATTCTTGGTAACAAGTAAAAAAATACTGTATTTTGCATAGCAGCAATGGTTAAATTTGAGTTTGTCAAAAGTCCTGTTATATTTCCCATCTCAATTGATTTGGTCATACTCAAGAGCTGAGTCTTTAGGGGCGTGGTGAAGAAACAGGCCTTTCTCTGTAGAACATGGAAAAGGAAATTCTACTTTTTCTAGTAACTGTAGCTAACGTTGAGTGCTTGCTGTATGTCAGGTGCTGTTCTAAGTAGTTTCACGCATTATATCATATAATCTTCAAAACCAACTCCATGTTGTAGATGAAGAATCTGTGACAGAGATAAATGAAGTAATTTCTTAAACCCACACAGCTGTAAGTGACAGAACCAAGATTTGAACCCAGGCAATTCAGCTCCAGAACCCCTCCTCTTAACTGCCACACTCTACTTGATACGACACAGGTACCTTCTCAAAATAATAACATGACAGGGACTCTTTTGCCGGGAATATGTAACATCACGTTTGTTCTTTGGTTCACGATGGGTATTGCTTGCACAGTTCCATAGAGTCTTGTGGCTCCCCCTCTATTTTTATTTTGAGTAGATGTAGGGTAATTGTCAGCAGTCGGCAGATATTTATGTAGCATCTTAAGTGTAGAAAACTTTGGGAATTATGGAAGTGAACAAGACAGGCAGATTCCCTCATCTCAGAGCACTTGCATTTAGTGTGTGCATGTGTGGGTGTGTGTCCAGAACGTCTTACGGTATAGAGATGGCAAATGGCTTTCAATCCAGATGTCAACTTTGGTTGATGGGCATTGACAAGCATGGACTGCTGTGCTTCGGTTCTGTTTTGTTTTAATTTAATAAACATTTAAATAATCAGGCACTATTCTAAACTCCTGAAAATGTTAACTTCTGAATTCTTACAACAACCCTGTGACGTAAGTATTGTTAACACCATCCCTGTTTTACAGACGAGGAAATTGAGGCCGGAGGATAATAAGTAACTTGCCCCAGGGTCCCACTGCTGATAAGTGTAATTCAAGCCTGGGGAGTCCAGCTATAGAGACTTTGCTCTTTGCCATCAAGCTAGGCTGCCTCTCCAAACATCGAGAAAGACTGTGAGGCCACAGCCAGACTTGGAGGAAAAGAACAGTATGATGGGCTAGAGCTGTCAGTGGGTAGGACTAGAACTGGGCATGGTCAGGAAAGTGGTGGCATCCGTGGACTTCAAGTACCAAAACCCAGTGTTAGTTCCATCACTGATACTAACTAGTTGTATAACTGGGGTGGGTGGGGTGGGGGTGCATCATGAGTATTTTCAGCTATAAAAAGATGATATGGTGGAAATGGTGTTATGGAGTTGGATTTACTGTAACAATCCAGCCTTGAGTTCTAGCTTTGCTGTGGATATGGTATATGATTCTGGAAAAATCTCTTAGGTTCTTCAAGCCTCATTTTCCTCATCTGCCAAATGGGCATGACAGTCTCATACCCTACTCATTGGGTTAAGTGTAAGAGGATTAATATATGTGAAAGCACCTTGAAGACTCTTAAGTGTTATGAGGTGATATGATTTTATGTTTAAGAGTAGAGACTATAATGATTTCTTTTTAAAACTTATATTGCAGAAGGGAAACAAAAAGCAGCTGACTTTGAAGACCTACTTTCTGGTCAAGGTTTCAATGCACACAAAGACAAAAAGGGGCCTCGAACAATAGCTGAGATGAGAAAGGAAGAAATGGCTAAGGAAATGGATCCTGAGAAATTAAAGGTGTGTGAGCTCCTGCCCCAGGGTGATTATTCTGTGTGAAAAAGTCCTGTGACAAGGTTATGGGTATGGAGCCTTCAGTGTTCCTGGTTCCCAGCTTCCTCACTGCTTCCCTCCATCCACTTTCAGCCAGAGCAGTTCTACTTTTATCTGTTTTGATTCTAGAAGTCTAGGTAAGACTGGATTTGTGGAAAAAAGAATATTTCCCCATTAAAAAAGATTTGCCAACCAGCTACTCCCAGTTTAGCTTGGAAAGAAGAGGGTGGTTTCATTATGTGGATGTATTGTGTGAGGTAGTGGAAGAGTTTTTGTAAAGATCAAGAGAATTGGAATGTTCTTGACAGACGGAGAGGTTGAATTCCTATGTGACAAAATACTAAGTATGCTGATGCCAGAATGAACTGGGAGATGGGGCTCTAATCTGTTACCTCATTAAAGGGTTTCCAAAACCAGGACTAGCACAGCCAGTCCATCTTACACATTTTGAAAAAATGTAACATATTTCCAGACAGATTTGAACATTTGTGAAGGATACATAGATTCTTAGATTCTCTTTTGAATACAATATAGGATCCTTGGTTTGCATTTACTTTTTGCTTCATGTAACACTACCGAGACCTTCTATTTCTTCCAAAGCTCTGTGCTCCATCTTGACAACATTTGTTCACTAGGCAAACTCTGACAGTTTTTTCTATGGAAGAAAATAGTTTATGTCTTTTAAATGATGCTCGGTTGTTTAGTTGGTATATGGTATTTAGTTACTTGGGAGAGTAGGCATTATTAACCTTGGCTAAACCATTCATTCACCAACATACACACTGAGCTCCGACTATGTGCTAAATGCTGGTGTGTTCTTATAAACCCTTCAACTTAATCACCTCATTTGTGCAACCTGAGAAGACTCAAACTGTGAACATTCATATTACTACTTGGATTAATTCATTTAACAGTTTTTGAGTTTTCTTTTAAAGCTGTATTTTGAAGCAGTCATGTTATTTGTCTCTTGAGTTATAGTCTTGGTAAGAAACAGTACCTCTTCTCAAACAGCTCTGCCTAATGGCAAGGAAAAACACACACACACGGGTGATTATGATAAAATATAGCACATATTAAGATAGAAACATGTTTAAGGGATTAGCCCAGAGAAATCACCCCCCCCCCACCGGGATATATATTTAGTGTGTGTGTGCCAGATACTATACCAGACAGAGGCAGATAGCAGAGACCAAAATGGACACGGTCTGTGCCCCCATGGAGTTCATGCTTTAGGAGTGAGATTAACTCTGGGGTGGGGTAGAGAGGAAGGGATTCAAGCTCTCAAAGGCAAATGGTATGAAATTCCTGAGCAGGCTTTTAAAGGATGATGAAGGGTTAACAGGAAAGCCAAGGTAGGAGGTGAAAAATTATCCTAGGTAGAGAAAACAGCTTGGAGCATGCACAGTGCCCCATGTGGTTAATGTTGTTGGGGCAGAAGCCATTTCCAAAGGCTAAGTGGAGACCTTAGGGACTTGAAAACATTTCTATTTCCTAATTCCCTCTGCGTTTACAGATTCTGGAATGGATTGAAGGTAAAGAGAGAAATATCAGAGCACTTCTGTCCACGATGCACACTGTGTTGTGGGCTGGGGAGACCAAGTGGAAACCAGTTGGCATGGCTGACCTGGTAACACCTGAGCAGGTGAAAAAGGTATACAGGAAGGCTGTGCTGGTGGTGCACCCAGATAAAGTGAGTATGATCTGCCCTAGAAGAGCACTTCTCTGCTCCTTATTTCATTAGCTTATGACCATGTATTAAAACATTATACTCTCAATTTTCTGGTTATTAGGCCATTTAAATGATAAAGTCCATGGGCTAACATCAAGTATTTAAAAAAATAGTTATACTTTATGAAGCAAGAGAAGAAATTAAACTATATATTACAATAATGGAATGGGAGGGCTTTCCCTAGGTATATGATTTATCACTGACTAGTTTTTTTTCCAATTTTTAAATAAAGTTTATTTATTTATTTTTGAGAGAGAGAGAGAGAGAGAGAGAGAATGCACACACACGAGCGAGGCAGTGGCAGAGAGGGAGAGAGAGAGCGAATCCCCAGCAAGCTGCACACTGTCAGCATAGAGCTCAATGCGGAGCTTGATCTCACGAACGATGAGGTCATGACCTGAGCTGAAATCAAGAGTCGGACGCTTAACAGACTGAGCCACCATATGTGAATTTCTAAGGGGAGAGAGTTTTGGGGAGGTTATAATAATTAGGATCACATAGAGTGAGCTATAAAATAAGAAATGGCCTAATAGAAAAACATTTCAATTACTTAGAGCCCACATATTAGCAGTGAAAATTTTAATACAAATAAAATTTCAGTCTGTAGTATCTAATGTGTTTTCCTGTTCTTTTTTCTTTTTTCTACAGGCTACTGGGCAACCCTATGAACAATACGCAAAGATGATTTTTATGGAGCTCAATGATGCCTGGTCTGAGTTTGAAAACCAAGGTCAAAAGCCCTTGTATTAGTTTTTGAGCTTTTCCATTTCTGCTGCAGACCTGTGCTAATGCTTAGTGTGTGTCACAGTTCTGAAGTTTTCACAGGTGAACCAAAAACTCCAGTAACATGTATCCAGTACTAAACTGTTAAATTACTCGTGAATTAATTACTCATTGATAAGGAATGTGGATGTTTATTTCCTCAAGTCCCCAGCATAAAAGGTCCAGAGCAGGGAAGGAACTTTTAGTCAGAGGACCTTGTGGAGTTCCTACATTCCAGCCTGCCCTTTGGGGGGCAGACTCAGCATTTTGTGGGGAAATGGAAACCAGAGGCCACCAAAGGCATAGCACCCATCTCATTGTATGAGAATAGGATTAATGAGCAAAAGCTATGATAATAGAAGTACATGGTGGATTTTAACTAATGGTTTTTAGATTTTCTTGGAAAGATGTCATTAAAGCCATGGCTTTACATTGACTTTAGGAACACAACCACCAAGTATTTTATTTTTGTGGAAATTTACAATGGTCTTTAGCATAATACTGTATACGTCTTTGGGTCAAGAGGACAATGTAAATTGTGGGAAGTGATTGTATTACAATCCAGTGATTGCCAACCCTGGATAAGCTAAAAATTAGTGCAAATGCTGACTGAAGAAAACAGGGACTCTGTGGAGAGAGAAATCTTTGTTCCTGGTCAGAAAGTTGGGCTGCTACCTTCCTCTCCCTAGAAAACTGTAGTTGCTTAAAGAAAATGTCTTAAGGACGTAACTTCAACTCTAAACCTGATTTGGAAGAAACTTATCATTTTGTCATAAGGCTTCATGCTCTTCCTTTTGCTTAGCCAAGAAAATATTTTTAGCTGGAAACAGGTTGTAAAGCAGTTTGGCACACCACAACGTATCAGGACCAGTGTCTAGTAAGGAGTCCCTGTCCTCTAGTTTTGTGAGTGGTTGTGGTAAGAGAGTAGAAAACAACACAACACCAGTGACGAGACAGGTGCAGTTGGAGCGGGAGAGCTGTGCTCACCTTCGGACCGGACCGAGTCAGATGGCTGGTCAGGATTTGCTTGGAGGGACCATGTTCTCCTCCCCACCTGTTGAAACTGGATCCCTTGGATTATTACAGTGGGGGTTGGTGTTTTAAAAGTAGTCGGGGGTCTACAGGAATAACATTCATGCAGGGACATCTGTGAAAGCAAAGTAAGAATGAAACCTTTGCAGACTTCACACTGGTTGGATTGCACTTCAGTGTTTTGGCTGTTCCTCATTTTGAGGGATCAGCAGTTGCCATCCCGTGACTTGAGGGGGATCTCTTTTGGTGTGCACATCCATGATGTGCATAGTATATATATGCAAAGCAGATGGGCAAAAAGATTTCCATGCTAATCTTAAAAGGTTCATGCTCAATATGGTGAAAAGCTTTCAAAAGTTGTTTTTAAAAGACAATCATTTTTTGTTCCTATTTTAATTTTCTTGTGGCAAACTGTACCAGAAAAGCAGCATGTCAAAGATACTTCATGTTCTGTATAGATATCTCTCTCTTTTTTTCTTGCTTGCTTGCTTTCTTTCTCTTCCTCCTTTTCCTTTTTTTTTATTATTATAAATATTTATTATTTATTTTACCCTTTACTGACAATGTGAAACTCACAGAAAATGTTCTCCTTTTAAATATACAGCTGTAAACCGTCAAGGTAACCATAACAAACTAGGTGTTATTTATTAACGTATTATGAAATAATGTTTGAACCAGTATGTGCTTGTCTTATTTAAAGTTGGAATGTGAGACATGTTGCTGTGACCTGGTTTTTTTTTTTTCTCATTCACGTTTGTAGATATTGTGTGAACTACAGTATATAATGATAATAATTAAAAGGATATTATGTGAATGTCACGTACATTTTGAAATGATAGAACTCCATTAGCTTTGTATCATGTTTGGATAATTCATCAATGTTCACAGTTTAAAACATCATTAAACATTATGTAATTAGCAATGAGAAAGAATCTTACCTAACTTATTAAATTTGGGATTTCCCTCATCTCTTTTCCAGATACATTATAATTCTGGACCCCTATTTATCTCAAAACTCTTAACATATGCAGACCAACAGATTTTTGCATTCCTTTTAAATATCTGGTTGTGACAAAGCTTGTTGTTGATCAGATTCACTGTTTCATTCATGTTATTGTAATATATTTTTTGTTTTGTAAATAAGTTACACACAACAAAATGTGATTGGTCTAAAATATTTGTAATGTATATTAAAAGGCTCAAAAATATTTGTAGAAACCTAAGTTATTTTTGCACTAAATATAAGCTAAGTTATATTTGGGAATATAATGACAGGTTTGACTTATACCTTCTGACATGATTCGCTTTTTAGAAAATTAACGGGAAAAGAGCATGAAAACATTTAATACATTTGCGCCGAAACGTAATCTGATAGGATTTCTGGAGTTATACATTAACCACCTCCACTACCACCCTTTCCCCTACACACACACACACACACACACACACACACACACACACACACACACGATCATGCTACATAAACACTATGTTTCAAAAAGAATTGGCATAGAAATCCTGATCTCCTGGATAGAATATTAATGAATTTTCAAAGCTGTGTTTGTATGCTGAGGCAAAGAAATTGATCTTGGAAGTCTGGGACTTTGTCATAGTAAACAGGACTGACCCTTGAAAAAATGCAGGGATTAGGGTTTCTGACCCCACATGTAGTCAAAAATCCATGTATAACTTTTGATTCCTCCAAAGCTTAGTTAGTAATAGCCTACTGTTGACTAGGAGCCTCAATGATAACATAAAGTTGATTGACTTCATATAAATGAGAACATAAAGTTAATTGACACATATACACGTATACATATATATACTGCATACAGTATAATGTTCTGTATTTGAGAATATTGTATTCTTACAGTAAGATAACCTAGAGAAAAGAAAATGTTAAGAAAATCATAAGGAAGAGAAAATACATTTACCGTACTGTACTGTATTTACTGAAAAACATCCACGTATAAATGGACCTGTGTGGTTCAGATCTGTGTTGTTCGAGGGTCAACTGTATTTCAGTTCTTAAGGATAGAAGCAGCATGTTCATTTGGAAGCACATGCTGCAAAGGAAAAGCATTTGAATCATTCTTTTACTGTCTCTGTTTGGAAGAATGTTCAAGTCGGATCCTAATGCCACTGATGAGACACCATTGTATAAGGACTGAACACAAACACTAAATTCCATAAACAGTTATCACAGCAACAGGACAGTTTCCCTACTGGAAACATCTATGGGGAAATTTAGGTCAAGTAAATAGGTTTTGGTTGTTCTAAAATAAACCATGATTTGGCATAATGGTATGGTATTGGTTTGAGACCAGAAAACTACATTTAAATCCTGGTTTTTTACTTCAGGGCTGTCATAGTCAACAACTTTGTTAAACTAAGACTTAATCCTATCATATGTATAATAGGGATATTGGTAGTAGCCCTACAATGGAGGCATTAGGAACTGTATATAAACTATTATCAAGTACTCATTAAATAGTAGATATTGTTAATGATCTGTAGAACACAGTGTATCCTTGCAGATCAGTATTGGGGCTGGAATTATATCGAAACCTCCAGTTGGTTGTAGGGAGTAACACAAATAGAAAAAAGCATCAAAAGAAACTTGTGCCTTGGCCCTTATTTCTATATGCTTGGAATGATAGAGTTCTGTCTCCCTAAAATGGCAGAGATTTGAATTGTAGGTTTTGTAAAGGGAATGGCTGTGTGAAAAAGGGAAGTGGTTGAGAGTTAGGGAGGGAAACTAACACTGACTAATTTCAACAGTAGCATCACCTTTGGATTTAACTTAAGCACTGATTTGAGAGCCTACCCCAGTATAGATATAATGCCACTGCATCTATCTGGCAGGCACTGCCCTAGGTGCTATTATATAGATTTGTTTTCTCATTTAATTCTCAAAAAATTCTGGGAGGCAGGTTTTGTAAATCCCACCTCAGGAAACAGAAGCATGGAAACATTTACCCAGAGCTGGGGTTTGAGGCTAGATGTTAGGATAGGGAGAGATGGTTCTATGGATGGTGAACTTACCTGTTAATTCAACCAATATTTTGTGTAAATTGTATGCAAGATACTAATAGAAATGTAAGGGAAAATCAAAATTAACAAATGGATTTGATTTCCCTGTTAAACATAAGAGGTGGTTGTTTTTCTAATTACTACAACAGATTTATATGGAGTAGTATACGCACTGTCTGACTTTAGAGTTGAACAGTTTTGAGTTTTATCTCAGATTCTTTACTTACTAGTTCCTATTTGAGCCTCAGTTTTCCCATCTGTAAAGTGGAGATAATATAACCTACAGTGTGAGAGAACTGAATGCAAGGAGAGAATATGACGATTTAAAGTAGTTCTGAGAGAATATGACGATTTAAAGAAGTCCTAGGCAGCACGGTAGAGGACATGGATCTTATACATCCAAATCAGGGGTACGTTTCAGCTTCTAAGGTTTTATGTACTTTTTTGGGGACTCTTTTATTCTTGATGAAACATGGAATGGGTAAGTGGAAGAATAACTTTTCAGTGCAACATCTGGCAAAAGGAAAGCAGATGTTCTCAGGAGATGGTTAGAACTTCTGGAAAGATGTTTTCTCTTCATAGTGTTTAGTAAACTGGAAAGGACAGATGGTGTAGGCAGAAACCTTGTTGAGAACTGTAATATTGTGATTTATGTATGTGATCATTCAGATGACCAAAGTATATATACTTGGTCTTCATCCACAGTTCCTGGCTTACAGCTCCCCAAACCCTTAGAATTTCCATAAATGTAGAGAGTGATAAAGATTTCATTATGTTTGGAAATCGCCTAAGGATCAGGGCTGGTTGCCAATTGAGCCAACCACGTTTTTAGAGGATTGGTACTTTCAGTCCTACCTCATGAACTCTGGGGAGGAGAGAGGAACTGGCGGTTGGCTCAATAGCCAATGTCCAATGATTTAATCCATTGTACCTATGTAATGAAGCCTCCATGAAAACCCAAAAGGACAGCATTCAGAGAGCTTCCAGTTGGCGAACACCTGGGGATGTGGGTAGAGGGGACACACCTAGAGAGGGCTTGGAAGCTCAGTGCCCTCTCCCCACACCTTGCCCTCTGGCAAGTTATTACCTGTACTTCTGATGGACTGGCTATACATCAGAGGTTCCCAGGACCTCCCCTCATGTTTGATTAGTTTGCTAGAGCAGCTCACAGGCTTGGCATTATAGTGAAGGAACATAAGGCTGACAGGCAGTTCCCCCTGAATACTTTCACTGCTGTTAGAAAGGAGTAATACTAAAAAGCGGGAAAAAGACATTCTGAAGGATCTTGAGTAGATTGCAGGCTACAAAGCAGAGTACAATGTAATTCTGGATCTGCAAGGGTCTGCAATGAGCCGGGTATTAGCAACACAATGTTTTTAATAACTACCTTCCATCTATGAGGAGATATGGGAGGGGCTAGAAAAATGAACTCATAGGTAAACATGTTGAGACAATAATACTTGACTGTACAGTTTTGAAAAAGTAAACTTAATGGGGATCCTGAAAGGTGGCGGTGATGAGAATTTGTACTTCTCAAGCAGCCAAAGGAACCCCTTTATCTTTCAGTCTCTTTGAAAATTAAGAAAAAGCAATAGAAAGGGAGCAGTAGTTCCTGGCTACAATGAGGCCTAAGTGGCCTGTAACCCAACCTCCTCCAAAAAGCTGGCAAGCCCTACCTTTTCTGAGCCTCTTTCCATTAAGGTAAAATAAAGCACTTGGATCAAATGGCTTTTAAGATCTCCTCCAGATTGTCCCCACCAAGACAGAAACTCCCTATTCCCGTGAGGAAGAGTAAGTACAAAATGGCCCTCTGAGGTTTAAATTGGTCTTAGTTACCTGCAGACTTTGAGGTCCCAAGGTGTAAGAATAATAACTATTTAAAGGTTCATGAAAGCTTCAGGAGCAAAAGAGGTTATTGGTCTTTGTGTCTCTAAATAAACCAGGGTGTAAGAGAGAAAACGAGTGTTTGAAAAGTGCTAAAGTTCATATTAAGCAAGGCAAGTCCATCTTCGGAGAAAGGTCTCCTACGGACTTGTTCTCTGGTGCTCCCACCCCCAGCTAAACCGGCTGCAGCCACAGCCTTGTAAACGCAGACGGGGAGGCGCGCGCGCGCGCACACACACACACACACACACACACACACACACACACACACAAGCATCTTGGGGCTCAGAGAAAAGTGCTGCTCAGTAAACGAGTGTCCTTTCCTTCGTTACCGGTTGTAATTCCCCCCCCTTCCCTCTCCCCATTTTCTCGGTCTCCACCCTAAGGCCGAGATTCCTTGCAGCCAGGAACCGCGATTGCTGGGCCTCTGTAGCTCAGGACCTGCACTGGTTTGGCTGCCTTGGAGCGTCTTGGCCCGCGGACCCAGCAGTCCCGGAGGAGCCGAGGCCCCAGCCGACAGATTGAAAAGGATGGGTGTAGGGCAGGTTGAGAGATTATGCGTAGGGCTCAGGATCTGGGAGAAAGGCTCCGGGAACAAGACCCGGTTTACAGGCTGAGAGTGCATTTCCGGGGCAAGCCCAGGACCAGGATCACGGGGTAGGCGGAGCTCTGCGAGCCGGGGGAGGAGTTATGGACGATCTGGGCGGGGCTTTGCGTGGCGGGAGTGGGCTTAGGACCTAGAGGAACGGGGCTCTGAGTGGAGGGGAAAAGGCGATCGGGACCCTCAGGGCGGGGTTCTGAGTGGCGTGTCAGGGAGTAATCGGGACTGGCAGTGGCTGGGCTGTGCGTGGTTGGAGTAAACTTGGAGCCCACAGGGACCCGCAAGGGCCCGGCTCTGCGTGGCTAGCTTGGACAAGCAGGGGCGGGGCTCTATGTGGCTGGGTAGGTAGGAATCGCGACAGGCAAGGGGCGGGGCTCTGCGTGGCAGGGCTGGCCGAGATGGGACAGGCAGGGGCGGGGTTCTGCCAATTGGGTCTCGGACGAGCAGGGGGCGGGGCTCTACATCGCGTGGCAGGCGGAGATGAGACCAGTAGGGGCGGGGCTGGAGGAGCTGGAACCCGCAGGGGCGTGCTCTGTGTGGCGGGGCGGGAAGGATCGGAAACGGCAGGGGCGGGGTTCTGCGTGGAGGGGCGGGGTTCTGCGTGGAGGGGCGGG